GGAGAGAGGGAGAGAGGATCAGAAAAAACAACAAAACTTTCAAAAAGCACAACTAAAACGTAGAAAACGAGAAGAGATGGCAAAACAAAGCAACAAATAAAAATTATTAAGGACAACGAAACCGTAGACAACGGACGCGAACACATTACCCAAATACCTGACACCGAGGAAGATAAGGAAGCGAGGTATTAGGCAAGCCAGGTAGAAGATGAGGCGGCGGGGGAAAAAAATGGTTTCAGATGCGCGAGGATGCTCAGAGAAAAGGGATAAATGGAGTAGGAAGGGAAGGGAACGAGAAAGATGGAACGTGAACAAAGAGGAGAAGGAGGGAGGGAGAGGAGGGAGAGGAAAAACAGGAACAGATAAGGTGGAGGAAGAAATACAGGAATGGATAAGGAGGATGAGGATGAGGAAGAAGAAGAAGGAGGAGGAAGAAGGAGGAAACGGATATGGAGAAGAGAAAGAGAAGAAGATTGATGGAGATGGAGGAAGAGAAATAGGACGAGGCTGAGGAAGAGATAGAAAGAGGTGGGCTGAATGAGGAGTAGCAAGAGATGGGAGGAGGAGGAGGAGGAGGAGGAGGAGGAGGAGGAGGAGGAGCAGGAGGAGAGGAGCAGGAAGAAGAGGAGGAGCAGGAAGAAGAGGAGGAGGAGGAGCAGGAAGAAGAGGAGGAGGAGGAGCAGGAAGAAGAGGAGGAGGAGGAGCAGGAAGAAGAGGAGGAGGAGGAGGAGGAAGAGAGGAACACAGGAATGCTGGAGAACCGACCGGAATGTTCGCGCCACAAAAGGACCGAGAAGAATCCAGCTAACCCTTCCCTTGTCCTCCTTAATCCCACCCTTTTCCCACTCGAAGCAAAATCGCTCGAAATCCATTTTCAACTCTTCGGACATCATGATCTCCCGTTGCCATGGAAACGGGAGGTCAGAAAGGGGGAAAAAAAGTTTTAAAGTGACCGCCAGTTAATGATCAAAAGTTGAAAATTGCAAGAAAAGAAACGTGCATTTATAAAAAAAAAAAGTTACGTTGAGGAAAAGTGGTTTTAAATTCCGGGTTCTCGTGGGTTTTATATTTATTGAATAATAGACAGATAGATGGTCGCTCAGACAGCAATACAGACACATTCACGCGGTCACAAAAGAAACGAAGGATTGCAAAAAATAACAAAAGATGGATATAAGAAATAATAATAATGATAATGATGATGATAATGATATTGGTAATGATGACGATAATCATTAAGCCATCATCATTATCCTCACCATAAGAGAAAACAAAATAAAAACAAAAAAACAAACAAACAGAAAGAGGGGAGAAAGAAGAGAAGAGAAAAAAGAGAAGAGAAGAGACAGCAGGAGAGATAACATAATGGGCCCTCTTCCCATGACACGTGAAGGTCGCCCGCCATACAAACACGCCGTCGTCATCCACGCGGGCGTTGCCATGGGAACGAACGGGCAGGCGGTCACGTGATACTTAACCTCCCACTACGACGAATGACACGAGGTATGTTTATGATATTAATTTTACCATTTATTAAATCTGTCTTAATTACTGTGTCTATTATCATCATTACTATTATATCCTTATTAGAATTTCATTATCATCATTACTATTATTACTATCATTATCAGAATTTCATTATCATCATTACTATTATTACTATCATTATCATTAGAATTATTATTACTACTATTGTTATTATTATTAGCATCATTAGAATTACAATTTATCATCACTATCATTATTATTACCATCCTCCTCATCATCATATCATTTCCATACTACTATATAATTTCATCATTACTGTCATTAATTAGTTACCATTATTACCAACAATTATACAAATCCTTAGTAATAGAGGTAACAATTATTTATGAGGCAATATACTAACAGTAAAATATGAATAGTAAAACCAAAGTGAATAGTAAAAACAAAGAAAACGTGAGGAAGTGAAAAAAAGAAACCGAAAGAAGACAGAAACCGAGAGAGGGGGAGAGAGAGGGAGAGAGAGAGGGAGAGAGAGGGGGAGAGAGGGGGAGAGAGGGAGAGAGGGGGAGAGAGGGAGAGAGGGGGAGAGAGGGAGAGAGGGGGGGAGAGAGGGAGAGAGGGGGGGAGAGAGGGAGAGGGGGGGAGAGAGGGAGAGGGGGGGAGAGAGGGGGGGAGAGAGAGAGGGGGAGAGAGAGAGGGGGAGAGAGAGAGGGGGAGAGGGGGAGAGGGGGAGAGGAGAAAGGGAGAGAAGAGAAAGGAAGGTGGTGGTGGGGGGGGGAGAGGGGAGAGGGGAGCTAGTAGAGGGGGAGACCGGGGAAAGGGAGGAAGAAGGAGGATGAGAGATAAAGAAAGAAAGAGAGAGAGAAGAAGAAACAGAAACCATCAGGAGAGGACGAACGAGAGAAGACAAAACTAAACAAGGAACACACAAACTGCGTGGAGATACAGAGAGAAAAAAAAAAAAAAAAAAAAAAAAACGAGAAAAACATTTCTAAGTGAACCCTGACCTAGTTACATAACCAGCAAACAGCAGCCAACGGAAACCACCATTAACAGAGAGGGAAGAGGGAGGAAGAGGAAGGGGAAAAGGGGGGGAAGTGGGGGAGGAGAGGGGAGGGAGGGGAAAAGGGGCGAGAGAGTGGAGAGGAGGAGGGAAAGGAGCGAGAGAGAGGAGGAGGGAAAGGAGCGAGAGAGAGGAGGAGGGAAAGGAGCGAGAGAGAGGAGGAGGGAAAGGAGCGAGAGAGAGGAGGAGGGAAAGGAGCGAGAGAGAGGAGGAGGGAAAGGAGCGAGAGAGAGGAGGAGGGAAAGGAGCGAGAGAGAGGAGGAGGGAAAGGAGCGAGAGAGAGGAGGAGGGAAAGGAGCGAGAGAGAGGAGGAGGGAAAGGAGCGAGAGAGAGGAGGAGGGAAAGGAGCGAGAGAGAGGAGGAGGGAAAGGAGCGAGAGAGAGGAGGAGGGAAAGGAGCGAGAGAGAGGAGGAGGGAAAGGAGCGAGAGAGAGGAGGAGGGAAAGGAGCGAGAGAGAGGAGGAGGGAAAGGAGCGAGAGAGAGGAGGAGGGAAAGGAGCGAGAGAGAGGAGGAGGGAAAGGAGCGAGAGAGAGGAGGAGGGAAAGGAGCGAGAGAGAGGAGGAGGGAAAGGAGCGAGAGAGAGGAGGAGGGAAAGGAGCGAGAGAGAGGAGGAGGGAAAGGAGCGAGAGAGAGGAGGAGGGAAAGGAGCGAGAGAGAGGAGGAGGGAAAGGAGCGAGAGAGAGGAGGAGGGAAAGGAGCGAGAGAGAGGAGGAGGGAAAGGAGCGAGAGAGAGGAGGAGGGAAAGGAGCGAGAGAGAGGAGGAGGGAAAGGAGCGAGAGAGAGGAGGAGGGAAAGGAGCGAGAGAGAGGAGGAGGGAAAGGAGCGAGAGAGAGGAGGAGGGAAAGGAGCGAGAGAGAGGAGGAGGGAAAGGAGCGAGAGAGAGGAGGAGGGAAAGGAGCGAGAGAGAGGAGGAGGGAAAGGAGCGAGAGAGAGGAGGAGGGAAAGGAGCGAGAGAGAGGAGGAGGGAAAGGAGCGAGAGAGAGGAGGAGGGAAAGGAGCGAGAGAGAGGAGGAGGGAAAGGAGCGAGAGAGAGGAGGAGGGAAAGGAGCGAGAGAGAGGAGGAGGGAAAGGAGCGAGAGAGAGGAGGAGGGAAAGGAGCGAGAGAGAGGAGGAGGGAAAGGAGCGAGAGAGAGGAGGAGGGAAAGGAGCGAGAGAGAGGAGGAGGGAAAGGAGCGAGAGAGAGGAGGAGGGAAAGGAGCGAGAGAGAGGAGGAGGGAAAGGAGCGAGAGAGAGGAGGAGGGAAAGGAGCGAGAGAGAGGAGGAGGGAAAGGAGCGAGAGAGAGGAGGAGGGAAAGGAGCGAGAGAGAGGAGGAGGGAAAGGAGCGAGAGAGAGGAGGAGGGAAAGGAGCGAGAGAGAAGGAGGAAAAGGAGCGAAAAGAAATGGGAGAAGAAATGGGTGATGAAACGTGGGGAGAGGGAGGGAGAGTTAGGGAGGTAGGCATAAAAAAAAGAGAAAGAGAAAGAATGCGGAGAGGAAATGGAAGAGCGAGGAGAGAGGAAATGGAAGAGAGGGGGGGACACAGAAGAGAATAGGGGGGGGGGGAAGCCCTAACCTAACACGCGGAAAGAGGGAGTGGGCGTGTGGAGAGGGAGGGGGTTAGGCGTGTGGAGAGGGAGGGGGGTAGACGTGTGGGTAGGGGGAGGGGAGGACGAACAACCGTACATTAATGACCATTGCCTTTCATTAGCGTCCGTTTCCGTATCACGTGCTTGCTCTATTTTAGTAACTGTAGTTTATGCACTTGTGTATATTGAACCTAATGTTTATATCTGTCTATATTCATATTTATATCTTTCTAGCGCTATAAATTAATCTTTATCTATAAGTCTATCTTTATAGATATCTATATCTACATACATATATATCTCCCTATCTATATATCCATCCACCCACCTATATATCTACAAACACATATCTTCATATATCTATATCTATATCTGTCTGTCTGTCTATCTATCTATCTATATATATATCCAACCATCCATCTATTCACCCACCTATCTACAAACATACATCTTCATACATCTATTTCTATCTATATATCTATCTATATATACACACACATCCATCCGTCTATTCACTCATCCATTGGCGAAAAACGGGAAGAACTAGGGGAAAAAGGAACATTTTAAAGAACATTTCATTTAATAAATTTACATACTGACTTCCCCCCTTTCAATTATATTAATCAAATTACAAAATGAAAATTTATTATTTTCGCTAAACCATTAGCCGTTTCTCCTCACACAACACTTAAGAAGAACCACTTATATGAATAAAAAAAATAATACAACAAACGGAATGAAAGATGAAACTTAATAAAAAACGAATATGAAGAAAATATATTAAAATTAACAATAAAAAAGTTATTTTCCCCCACACTTTCCAGTTAGACGACCGACCTAGATAATTTCCCCGTAATTTTTCCCCTAAAACGGCCATACTTACAGGTATTTTCGTAGGGAATTTCGCCCTTATGTTCGCCACCTCCTCCTTCCTCGTCACTGCAAAGAGGAAAATCAGTAAATTTATAAATAGAACATTTAAATTTGCATATTCAATCTTTGCCAATTCAATGCACTCTAAAAATAAATCAAGGGCAAAAGGTTCAGGAAAAAATATAATAATAATAATACGGAAAATACCGACCAAAACACCCTGTTACATACAAAAACACGCACTAATACAAACAAACAAACACACACACACACATTACACAAACAAACACACACACATTACACAAACAAACACACACACATTACACAAACAAACACACACACATTACACAAACAAACACACACACATTACACAAACAAACAAACACAGTGACTCATCAACATATCAATCTATCTAAAGCACTTATTGGAGAGGGGACGATAATATAGAAAAAAAAAGAGGAAAAGCATTTGCAACCCCCGATGCTAATCTCGATGCCTCACGCACGCCGCCTACCGACCGCACGGCTACGTGTTAGAGCCCGATAAACACTCCAACCTATCTCGCTCATTCCTGTGGTGAAGTTAGGAGGGGAAGGGGGGGGTGAGGAGGGAAAGGGGGTGAGGGGGTGAGGGAGGGATGAGGAGGGAAGGGGGGGGGTGAGGAGGGAAAGGGGGTGAGGGGGTGAGGGAGGGATGAGGAGGGAAGGGGGGGCGAGGGACGGATGAGGTGGGAAGGGGGAGGGGGGGTGAGGGAGGGATGAGGTGGGAAGGGGGAGGGGGGGTGAGGGAGGGATGAGGAGGAGGGAAAGGGGAGGGGGGGTGAGGGATGGATAAGGAGGAGGGAAGGGGGAGGGGAAAATGGGAGGGGGGGATGAGGAGGGAAAGGGGGGGGAATGGGAGGGGGGATGAGGAGGAGGGAACGGGGGAGGGGAAAATGGGAGGGGGAATGAGGATGAGGGAAGGGGGGAGGGGAAAATGAGAGGGGGTGGGGGAGGGGAAATAGAGGAGGGGAGTGGGGGAAGGGAGAAATAAGAGGGGGGGAAAGGGGGGGAAAGGGAGGAATGATAGAGGGGGTGAAGGAAAAATGGTGGGGGGAGGATGAGGGAAAGGAGACATGAGAGGGGGGAAAAAGGGAGAAAGATGGGGGGGATGAGGGAAGGAAGAGGGGAAAAGGGAGAAAGGAGAATGGGGGAAAGGAAAACGAAAAAGACGTAGAAACCGAAGAAAGAAGAGATGGTCAATGAGAAAACGAGTAAAAACGATAAAATCGAGAAAACGAAATAAGGAAAACTGGAAGAGAAAACGTAAAAAAGGCAAAATAGGTTAAGTAGGAGTAATAACTGGAAGGAGAAAGTCAAAATAAAAACTTTAAATGCTTACGTGTTGCAAAATGCATGTTATCACCGACTTAACTGGGGCAAATCATGCAAAACTAGGCCTTACGCAACATCCACTTTCGTCCAACTACCATAATCTGTAAATATCACCCCCCCCTCCACCACCCTCCCCCAACCACCCTACCTCCTACCCTCCCCCCTTCTCCCTCTCTACCTCTCCCCCTCCCCCTCTCCCTGCCTACTCCCCCACCCCCACCCCCTCCCCCTCTCTGCCTCTCCCCCTCCCCCTTCCTCTTCCTCCCACCTCTCCCTACCTACTCCTCCACCCCCTTCCCCCTCTCTACCTCTCCCCCCCTCCCTCCCCCCGCTCCATTCCACACGTACACCAACTGTTAAAAAAAATAAACATGCATAAATATCTAAAAAAAAGAAAAAAGAAAAGAAAGAAAAAAAAAAAGTTTACACTCTAAGACCTGTCATCGAAGGACGTAAACACGAGGGAATAAATCGAGGGCGGAGTGACATTGCGAAATAATTAGAGCGTGGGTCTTAGTTTGGCTGAGAGGGGAGGGAGGGAAAGAGGGAAGGAAAGAGGGAAGGGAAAGAGGGAGGGAAGAGAGGAGGGGAAGGAAGGAGGGGAAGGAAAGAGGGAGGGAAGAGAGGAGGGGAAGGAAAGAGGGAGGGAAGAGAGGAGGGGAAGGAAAGAGGGAGGGAAGAAAGGAGGGGAAGGAAAGAGGGAGGGAAGAAAGGAGGGGAAGGAAAGAGGGAGGGAAGAAAGGAGGGGAAGGAAAGAGGGAGGGAAGAAAGGAGGGGAAGGAAAGAGGGAGGGAGGGAAGGAGGGGAAGGAAAGAGGGAGGGAGGGAAGGAGGGGAAGGAAAGAGGGAGGAAGGGATGGGAAGGGAAGAAGAGGAGGGGAGGATGGGAAGGGAAAGAGGGAGGGGGGAGGGAGGAAGGAAGGGAGGGGAGGGAGGGAAGGAAAGAGGGAGGGAGGTAGGTAAGGAGGAACAGAGAAACGGAGGAGGGTAGGGGAAGGAGGAGGGAAGGAGAGGGGGAAGGAAAGAGGGATGGGAGAGTAAGGGAATTAATGAATGGAGGAAGGAGGGAGAGAGAGAGAGAGAGAGAGAGAGAGAGAGAGAGAGAAGAGAAAGAGAAAGAGGAAAGAGAAAGAGAAAGAGGAAAGAGAAGAGAAAGAGGAAAGAGAAAGAGAAAGAGGGAAAGAGAAGAGAAAGAGGAAAGAGAAAGAGAAAGAGAAAGAGAAAGAGAGAGAGAGAGAGAGAGAGAGAGAGAGAGAGAGAGAGAGAGAGAGAGAGAGAGAGAGAGGAGAGAGAGAGAGAGAGAGAGAGAGAGAGAGAGAGAGAGAGAGAGAGAGAGAGAGAGAGAGAGAGAGAGAGAGAGAGAGAGAGAGAGAGAGAGAGAGAGAGAGAGAGAGACGTATCGGTACCAAAAGAGAGAAAGTGACAGAGCAGCCGATCCACGAAAGGTCACTCGACGCCATAACAAAGCCTCCACGTAACCACAACATATATGCAAGGTCAACAGCCAGGGGTCAAAGGTCAAAAATGCCGGCAGAGAAGTCTAGTCGGCGGGTCATGACCTTGACCTAGAATGAATGGAGGGAAAAGGGAAAAAATGAGGAAGAAAGGGATGATGATGATAACAAGGAAAGTAGAAAAGATGAAAATGGTGAGGAAAAAATCAGAAAGGAAAGTATAGGAGGAATGAAGAAAAAGAAGGAAAAGGGAAATCAAAAACGAAAATGGGCGAAGAGAAATCGTAAACAATAATAAAATACATAACCTTGTCTCAGTACCTCCCCTCCCCCCCCTTCTCCGTTCACCCACCCACGCCCTACACATCCGCCACCTGACCTCCCCTTTACCAGGTCAGAGGTCACGGTGCAAGATTTCTCAACTGCCCTCCCCCCCCCACTCAAAAAATCTCTCGAATCAGTAACGACTCCCTCTATTGCATGACATCGCGTCGAACAGGCTTCCATCATGCATAAATCAGGGTTATAGTGTAAAGCCTATTATCTCCCATGTTGCACGACCGGAAACGACCTAGCAAGCGTTGGGCTGTTCACCTTCAACTTTCAACTTTTGGTGCAATCTCTTCAACTAAAAATTTGTTCTCTTCTTCCTCTGTATCATCTTAATCCTTATCTTAGGCCCTTCTCACTCTATTTATTGTCTTTCTCTTATTTCTCCAATCATTTCTCCTCCTGCATTTTTTTCTTTTTCTTTCTTTCTTTTCTCTCTCTCTCTTACTGTTTCGTTTTCTTCATTCTTTGACTTCAAATTTCATAGTTCTCTTCTTCCCCTTCCGCATTCTTTTATTTCCCCTTTCGCCTGATATTTTCTACTCCTTTTCCTTCTTCAAATATTCTTTTCTTTCTCTCCCTCGTTCTCCTTCGCCTCCAACCTTCCTTTTTTTGTGTCCTCTCTCCCTTCTTCTCTTTCACTTCCCTCTCATCCTCTCATGGTTCTACTTCCTTTTACTCTCTTTCGTTCAATCTTTCCTCCCTTCTTGTTCTTCTTTTCCCTCCCATATCTCATTTTCATCCCTCTCTCTCTCTTTTTCTTCATCTTTCCATCCTTTTCCCCCCTTCCTTCCTTCCTTTTATCATCATCCTCTTCCTTCTTCTTGTCACCTTTTTTCCGCTTCTGTCTCTTCATTTTGCTTCATATCTCTCTTCCTTATGCTCATCATTTCCTTCTCTTCCCATCCCCTCTTTCTTTCCTTATCCTCCCTCCTCCCACCTCCCACCACCTTCCTCATTCCCTCCTCATCCTTCCACCCACCTTCCTCATTTCGTCATCTCTTCCTCCTTCCCTCCCTCCCTCCTTCCGTCATCTCCTCTTCCTCCTTCCCCCATTTTGTAATCTCTCACTTCCTCCCTTCCCTCCCTCCCTCCTTCCGTCATCTCCTCTTCCTCCTTCCCCCATTTTGTAATCTCTTCCTCCCTCCCTCCCTCCTTCCCTCCCTCACTCCTTCCGTCATCTCCTCTTCCTCCTTTCCCAATTTCGTAATCTCTTCCTCCCTCCCTCCTTCCGTCATCTCCTCTTCCTCCTTCCCTCCCTCCCTCCTTCCGTCATCTCCTCTTCCTCCTTCCCTCCCTCCCTCCTTCCGTCATTTCCTCTTCCTCCTTCCCTCCCTCCTTACGTCATCTCCTCCCCCACCCATGCGAGGCAACGACGCAAACACGACAACGCCGCAGCGATACGTGATGACCTCCACGTGCTGGCCACATCCTCTCGCGGCGACACGGGGGACAAAACGGGGAGAGACGGAGGGAGAGGAGGGGGGTGGGGGTGTGTGGAAGGGGGTTGAGAGGGAGAGAGAGGGAGGGGGAGAGAGGGGGAGAGAGGGGGAGAGAGAGAGAAAGAAAGAAAGAAAGAAAGAAAGAGAGAGATGAGATGACTCAGACCCTCCCCCCTCCCTCGGCCTCGTTCGTAGACACACCATATAAGGCGCCAAGCAAAGGGGGGGGGGTAGTGGACGGGAGGGGGAAGCGGGGACAGGATGTGGAAGATGTAAACGAGTTCAACATTTTCTTCTTTTCGAAAGACGAGGCTTTCCAAATACCATGCGATGCAATTACATATTCGCTACACGACCATTTTCCCCGGAGGTGGCACTATTGCAAATTTATGCAATTACAACATGCATAGATCATAAAATACGGAAAATATATCCCAAAAATATTCATGTTCTGGCACGTGGCGGCCTATCTCGCAGGTGTGCATCCGTACGTTCATCCGTACGTACAGGTAAATCATGGCAATGCTCTGCAACTAACAACGTGTTAAATACAAGCACAGGTTACACACGCAGGGAAGAAACACAAGCTCCAGGTAAGGAAACCAGCACGTTACAATTTCAAAGGCAGATACAGTTACAAGGATCAAATACAGGGTACAAGTGCAGGGGTTTAGCACACGGGACATGCGCAGCGGACAGTGCCAACAAGTGTCACCCTTAGAGCGCCATTTACTTCGTCTGGCGACCCGGTTCTGGCTCCCGGCGGTGACGTCACTCCTTGCAGCGGTGACGTCATGCGGGTTACCCGACCAGAACCAAAAAATTCAAGGAAATTCGCAAGTTGCAAGGATGCGACAAAGAGGTCGCATCTTTGCAACTTGCGAATTTACTAGATTATGCACGAAAATAAATACTTAAGACCCAAAATACATTACAAAAACAAGACATACAAAAAAAATATTGTAAACAAAAACAGAAGTAAAATTCTAACTTCGCATGGCAAAACTTCAGGACAAATAAATACAAATCCATCAAGGAGGACTGAAGGGAGGGGGGGGTAAACATTCCCCCACTCACCCCCACCCCCCTTCACGCCCCTCTCCCTCACCCCCACCCCCTTCACGCCCCTCTCCCATCTCCAAACAACCTTGAACGGCGGAGGAAAGTCATCCTATCTACGCAAAATCTGAAGACACGCCTACTTCGTCGTCTTATCTCTTATCTATCCTGTCTCTTTTTATCCACAATGGCCTGTTTGGGAGGACCAGAACCGCATGCATTTGATAACGGATTATCAATATGGTTGCCTGTTGAGGTGAAATCTATCTATTGAAATCTGATAGGATTGTTGTCGGGAAAATTGTGGTTCAGCGGATTACACGTTTTCTGTTGACAGGGTAAACAATAATATTTACATTTCTTCATCATTCTTCTATCAGCTTGAGTATACAGTGAATTAATTAAGTCGCATTATGATGGTTTCCTCATGATGATGTCTCGACCACCACCTTCACACATGGACAACGATAGGCCAATGAATAACCCGGCTTTTACGAGTGAAAAACAGAGGAATATAACCTTTTTGGCAGCAGAACCGAAGAACCATTCTTGCACTTCAACCGGTGTTGGAGGAGAAACCTTACGTAGCCTTAGGGTTTTAGGTATCCTGCCTTATACCTTCATCCCCTCCCCCCCTCAAGGTATTAGGGAACCTGCCTTAACCCCCTAACTCCCTACGTTAGGTCAGGGAGGGGAGGGGGGGTTAAGGATATTCCGTTTGGTTTTCATAATGAAATGGAGTAAAGTGAACCACTTTATTTCCCTCTGAACTTCACTGGTTTTGTGCTATAAAATAAGTTCTGTGGAGGTTTATTATGACGGTATGTGATATGTAGATATAATGACAAGAGATAGACAATGTGACATAGACGATTCAATAGATAGAGAAACAAACACTAAATCAGACAAACAGGCAGATAGATAAACAGAGGAGAGAGAGAGAGAGAGAGAGAGAGAGAGAGAGAGAGAGAGAGAGAGAGAGAGAGAGAGAGAGAGAGAGAAATACAGAAAGAATGAATGAACAATATGAGCAAGCTTATCTTTCATCAGCCAATGAATGAGTGAGAAGGGGAGCCCTAATACAACCTGCACACTAATCCCAGTACTTTACCTTATCTCTCCCCCCCCTCCCCCTCCCACACACAGACACACAATTACACACACACAAAACGAATCACTTCTTACCGGGCGTCTTGATCTCGAACTCCCTCATCTTGCCTCTTCCTACACACACTACGCTACGTCTTGTGTGTAAAAGTCTCTCTTGGGAGTAAGGACCGGGGGAGAAGGGTGAGGGAGAGGTGAGGGTAGGCGGTAGGAGTCTGGGTAGGGAGACGAGGGAGAGAGGGAGAGAGAGGGTAGGGAGGGAGGTCTGCACACGACCTCAACAAGGCCGTTCGGTTCCACAGAAATCGAATGAGCAATCGTCAATCATTCACAGCGAAATTAACCAAGTTAATTCGCGTTCGTTTCACAACGGTTCGTTCGCTAACAGGTCTGTCTTTCTATTTCTCTCTTTCTCCTACGAATCCGAAGTCGTTGCCGCCAAGCCACGTATCCTAAGCGAACAGAACACCGAAAATGTGTCACAAGAGCCACGGCGGACACACATGCAGCTCACTCGGCGGTGTACACATGACTGAGCAACCACGGCGGGACTTCTAGTGTACGTGAGGGCCGAAGCGTCGTGTGTAAGTACATGTGTGCGTGTCTGTGTGCACCCTGGCGCCAGTGAGCCGCTGTATCACAAGGTCAACGCACAGAGCATGATTTTTTTTATATTACTTTTTTACTATCCTATGACGTCTTATCTCCCTGATGATCGCTTATCAGATAAGAGCGGTTGAAACCGGTGGCAAACTTCATACATACCGCCAGGAGCGGGGAAAGGGAAGCGGGGAGGGGGGAGGGAAGGGTGAGGGGAGGAGGAGGAGAAGGGTGAGGGGGAAGAGGAGGAGAAGGGTGAGGGGGGAAGGAGGAGGAGGAGGGTGAGGGGGGAAGGAGGAGGAGAAGGGTGAGGGGGGAAGGAGGAGAAGGGTGAGGGGGGAAGGAGGAGAAGGGTGAGGGGGAGGGAAGGGCGAGGGTGAGGGGGAGGGGGGGAGGAAGAGGAGGAGGAGAAGGGTGAGGGGGAGGGAAGGGTGAGGGGGAGGGAAGGGTGAGGAGGAGGAGGAGGAGAAGGGTGAGGGGGAGGGAAGGGCGAGGGTGAGGGGGAGGGAAGGGCGAGGGTGAGGGGGAGGGAAGGGCGAGGGTGAGGGGGAGGGAAGGGCGAGGGTGAGGGGGAGGGAAGGGCGAGGGTGAGGGGGAGGGAAGGGCGAGGGGGGAGGGGGAGGGAAGGGCGAGGGGAGGGAAGGGGAGGGGGAGGGAAGGGCGAGGGGGAGGGGGAGGGAAGGGCGAGGGGGAGGGAAGGGCGAGGGGGAGGGAAGGGCGAGGGGGAGGGGGAGAGGGGGAGGAGGAGGAGAAGGGTGAGGGGGGAAGAAAGAGGAGGGGAGGAGGAGAAGGGGGGGAGGAGGAGAAGGGGGGAGGAGGAGGGCCGGGCGAGGCGAAGGGGGAGAGATGGTGAGGGAAGTAAGTGAAAGGAAGAGTATAGGAAGTAAGCGATATGAGAGGGGAAAGAGAGAGGGGAATAAGAGGGGAATGAGAGGGGATAGAAAAAGGGAAAGAATCGGGAAGGAGAGAAAAGGGGGAAGGATAGAAAAGGGGGAAGGAGAGAGGGGAAGAATGGGGAGGTGAAGACGAAGAAAAGGTAGAGGAAAGGGAAGGGTTACAGAGTCGAGTAGTGGAGTGGAAGGGAAGGGAGGGAAAGGAGGGAAAGGAGGAGAGGAGATGAGAGGGAAGGGAAGGAAAGGAGGAGAGGAGAGGAGAGGAGAGGAGAGGAGAGGAGAGGGAAGGGAAGGAAAGGAGGAGAGGAGATGAGAGGGAAGGGAAGGAAAGGAGGAGAGGAGATGAGAGGGAAGGGAAGGAAAGGAGGAGAGGAGAGGAGAGGAGAGGGAAGGGAAGGAAAGGAGGAGAGGAGAGGAGAGGAGAGGGAAGGGAAGGAAAGGAGGAGAGGAGAGGAGAGGGAAGGGAAGGGAAGGAAAGGAGGAGAGGAGAGGAGAGGGAAGGGAAGGAAAGGAAAGCAGGAGAGGAGAGGAGAGGGAAGGGAAGGGAAGGAAAGGAGGAGAGGAGAGGGAAGGGAAGGAAAGGAGGAGAGGAGAGGAGAGGGAAGGGAAGGGAAGGAAAGGAGGAGAGGAGAGGAGAGGGAAGGGAAGGAAAGGAGGAGAGGAGAGGAGAGGGAAGGGAAGGAAAGCAGGAGAGGAGAGGAGAGGGAAGGGAAGGGAAGGAAAGCAGGAGAGGAGAGGAGAGGGAAGGGAAGGGAAGGAAAGGAGGAGAGGAGAGGAGAGGGAAGGGAAGGGAAGGAAAGGAGGAGAGGAGAGGAGAGGGAAGGGAAGGGAAGGAAAGGAGGAGAGGAGAGGGAAGGGAAGGGAAGGAAAGGAGGAGAGGAGAGGGAAGGGAAGGGAAGGGAAGGGAAGGGAAGGAGGAGAGGAGAGGAGAGGGAAGGGAAGGAAAGGAGGAGAGGAGAGGAGAGGAGAGGGAAGGGAAGGAAAGGAGGAGAGGAGAGGAGAGTGAGGGAAAGTGGAAGGGGAGGGGAGGGGAGGGGGGAGGGGAGGGGAGGGGAGGGGAGGGGAGAGGAGGGAAGGAAAGGGATGGGAAGGGAAGGAAAGAGAAGGAAAGAAGGAAAGAAGAGGGAAGGGGAGGGAAGGAATGGCAAGGCAAGGTCGGAAGTAAAGGAATGGATTTGTCTCTCCTCCGTTGCACGCCCAAATATTTCTTGCAAGGCCGATCCAGCGCCTCCACCAAGAGTCCAGCTCAAATGCTTCTATTCTCGCCCCCCCCCCACCTTCTCAAAAAGCCTGGCCCCAGCTTGCAATGGCCATGTTGCAGCCTATCAACACCCGACGCAACCACGCCCTAGTGTAATGATTTTCCTTTAAAGTCTTGAGAACCGAGACTCTCCGTGCAATGCTTCCGGCTATGTGGGGGGAGGGGGAGGGGGAGGGGGAGAGGGGAGAAAGGGGAGGAGGAAGAGGGGGAGAGGGGAGGGGGATGGGGGATGGGGGGGAGGAGGAAGAGGGGGGTGGGGAGGAGGGGAGGAGGAAGAGGGGGGTGGGGGAGGGGAGGAGGAAGAGGGGGGTGGGGGAGGGGAGGAGGAAGAGGGGGGTGGGGGAGGGGAGGAGGAAGAGGGGGGCTGGGGGAGGGGAGGAGGAAGAGGGGGGTGGGGGAGGGGAGGAGGAAGAGGGGGGTGGGGAGATGAGTAGGAGTGAGATGAGGGGGGGAGATGAAAGAGGAGGGAGAGGGAGAGGGGAAGATGGAGGGGGGGGGAAGAGGGAGGGGAGGGAGAGAGAATGATAAAGTGAACAATCTTCAATAAACCAGCCCGTCACATGTACCCATTCACCCCTCTCAAGGATACCAGCGCCCGGCCCAAACGGAACGAAAACCAACGAAAAACGCAACACACGAACCGGTCGTACCCCCCCCCCCTCCCCTTCCCCCTCCCCACCATCCAAATCCCAGGTTCCTTCGCCTTCGCATAATAAAAGATTTATACCTTCTGGAATGAATCACAGCATCCGGCGCCATCTCCACTTCGTCTCGAGATAAGATTGGGCCGATAAGGCAGAATAAAAATGAAGAGACAGCAATGATAGATCGAATTATCGTCGGCCATTATATATCATTTGCTCTAAATACTTATTTTTTTAATTTTTTTTTCTCAGGGACGTAGAAGGAACATAACACAATGGTATTAAAAACATTCAAATAGGCCTACAGATTGTGGCATTTATTCACGAGTTAGCCAAGCATGAAGGTAAAAACCACAGTCACACTGCGGTCGCTTCAAATATGTGAATACATATGTATAAAAAGCATGTACGTATAACAGTGATGTACGTGTAAAAGCCCGTGTACGTGTAAAAGCCCGTGTACGTGTAAAAGCCCGTGTACGTGTAAAAGCCCGTGTACGTGTAAAAGCCCGTGTACATGTAAGCCTATTTACGTATAAAAGCCTATTTACGTATAAAAGCCGTGTACGTGTAAGCGCCTATGTACGTATAAAAGCCATAAATGTACAGTTGTGTACGTACAATATCTACGTGCCATGTGATCTCTATTTCCACCCCGCCCTCGACCGTAATATCTATTATGGCAAACCGGCAACTCGACCGTCTGTCCCTCTGTCTGTTCACTCTCACGTCGACTACTTCCTCCTTCCTCTTCCTCCTTCTTTTCTTCCTCCCTTCCCTCCTCCCTCTCCTCTTCAAGTTGCATTGTTCTTGCCGTTTATACAACTTCGTGGCTCCTCTTGCAAGAAAGGTGCAACTGATGAACGGTGTGCAAGGTTGAGAGAGTAGGGAGAGTTGCCAAGTTCTCATTTATGGCGGAAGGAATTCAGTGGGGGTGGTGGGGTGGGCGTGGGGCTTGGGGTGGGCGTGGTGGGGAGGATGGGGTGGGCGTGGTGGGGAGGATGGGGTGGGCGTGGTGGGGAGGATGGGGTGGGCGTGGTGGGGAGGATGGGGTGGGCGTGGTGGGGAGGATGGAAGGTAGGGGGTGTTTAAAGAATGTCGGGGCCAGTCTGGTTCACTATCCGAAGGAGGAAGGAGGAAAGAGAATGGAAGAAAGGGAGGGAGGAAGGATGGAAGGAAGGAAGGAAGGGAGGGAGGAAGGATGGGAGGAAGGAAGGAAGGGAGGGAGGAAGGATGGGAGGAAGGAAGGAAGGGAGGATGGGAGGAAGGGAGGATTGGAGGAAGGAAGTAAGGAAGGGAGAGAGGGAGGGATAGAGGAAAGGGAAGAAGGAGGGAGAGAGGGAGGGACAGAAGGAAGGAAGGAAGGAGAGAGGGAGGGATAGAAGAAAGGAAGGAAGGAAGGAGAGAGGGAGGGATAGAAGAAAGGAAGGAAGGAGAGAGGGAGGGACAGAAGAAAGGAAGGAAGGAGAGAGGGAGAGATAGAAGAAAGGAAGGAGGGAAGAAAGAAAGGACGAAGAGCGAAGAGCGGAAGGGACGGAAGGAGGAATGAGAGGGTACAGCTGGACAAAACTGGGAGGAAAGGAGGAAAAGGAAGAAATGAAGGAGGAAAGCAGATTGAAAGCCAGGACGAATAAATAGAACACGAAACAGCTGCAAAACAACAAAATCAAACAAAATCCACGTTTCCCCCTTCCACTCCTACCCCCATCCCCCCACCACTGCCCCAAAACCGGAAGCTCCCCTTTAAAACCAGACAGTCAGAGGAGGGAGAGAGGGAAAGAGAGAGAGAGAGATAGAGAGAGATAGAGAGACAGACAGAGAGAGATAGAGAGACAGACAGAGAGAGATAGAGAGACAGACAGAGAGAGAGAGAGAGACAGACAGAGAGAGAGAGAGAGACAGACAGAGAGAGAGAGAGACAGACAGAGAGAGAGAGAGACAGACAGAGAGAGAGAGAGACAGAGAGAGAGAGAGACAGACAGAGAGAGAGAGAGACAGACAGAGAGAGAGACAGACAGAGAGAGAGAGAGACAGACAGAGAGAGAGAGAGACAGACAGAGAGAGAGAGAGAGAGACAGACAGAGAGAGAGAGAGACAGACAGAGAGAGAGAGAGACAGACAGAGAGAGAGAGAGACAGACAGAGAGAGAGAGAGAGAGAGACAGAGAGAGA